CATCAAGAATTCTTCATTTTTCACTGTAAATATTTCCTAGACTAAAAATAAAACTCCAAACAATTCCCCAAATGTGTGTAGCCCTGATGGATTTGTACCTCCTGAGATGAATTTAATTACTTTTCACCTGAAATACTTCAGGTTCTACTGCCACAATTAATGTTGACTGAACTTTTAAGCTATAACTTTGCTGGTGTCTTTGCAAATCTGTGGGGTTTTCATTATTTCTCCTCCTCCCAAGACAGTATGAACAGAACGGGGTGTCACTGCTTAGTGAAAAAGGATTTAATAATGAAAATTCTGTTTTTAAGGAGCCTAAACCTGAACACCTGTGTTGGGAGAGTTTGCAGCAGCTGAGGATCACCTCTGAATGGTTTCTCTGCTCAGTAGCTACCAAATACAAAAGTCATGGAAGCTGAATGTTGCTTGGGATATTAAACTGAAAATGCATTTAGAAAGAAGTCCTTAAGGGAACCGAGGTAAAAATAGCTGCCAAACAAGGCAAAATTGAAGAGGAAAAGAACATTGATATTCAGTATATTAATTTCTCACGGAGCCTGACGTTAACAGCTCTGCTGGGAAATTACATTATTGTTGTTAAAATACTGTGGAAATCCAAATAAAGGCTGGGAAGCTACAGGATGTTCTTGGAGGATGCAAGCTTTGCTGGAAGAAAACAAAATAAACAGTTCAGCTCCAACACCTAAATATTGATATAAAGATGTAAAAGTTGAGGAGGCTTCACAGACCAGCACGTGACGGGGATGTCCCAGGGCACTGGGCAGGCTTGGAAAGTCAAATATTCTCCATCCCTGTGAAGCAGTTGGAGTTCATGTGGTGTCCTAGAAAAGCAGGATGTGAGCCAAGGAATGAAGGAAGAACAACCCCAATAATGGAGTTACTGACAGGGCTGGGCAGGACCCGGGCTGCAGCAGCACAGAGAGGATTGAGGATGAAAAATAACCTCGCTGGTGGGTGAGAAATGCCCTGGAAGAGCAGCCCTGAGCAGGGGGGGATCCCTGTTGGAACCCTGGCCTGGTTCAGGGGCTCCGTGTGGTGGAAAAGTCTCTCCTCCAACCTGTGCTTCCAAAGAAAGGCTCAGCAGCCTCTTGTTGTTCGGTCTCAAGGCAGTTTATTGCAAGTTATCTAAAAGATTTTCTTCTTGAGCTGCTGTGGTTTGCTCACAGCTCAGGCAGAGGCACACACACACCCTGACATCCTCTCTGACTCCCGACTGCTTCTTCTCTCCCAGCCCAGGGCTGCTGCTGTCTTTTATATGGTACATTATGTGTTACATGTTTATAATTTTTCCCCAATGCCTATTACCTATATTAAATGGTGCCTTTCTACTCTAAACCAATCTGTGAGTACCAACATCACCAAGAACACTGAGGTAAGGAAGAAGAAAGAGGAGGAACAGGACCAGCCTACATTCCTCCATCTTAAAACCTCTGACCCCCATGTACAAAGTAAAACCCCCCCTGTACAGGTGTTAAAAACCCCTTGTACAATACTAAAAACTTCTTCCCTCTACTTTGTGACTACTTCTACTGTAATATCTAAACTTTTGTGACTTCTTGTTCGACCTGCAAAGTTGGTAAATCATTCCATGGCTCAAACCCAAAATCACAGCTGTTTCCAGCTGCCTGCCAGGGTCTCAAATGCTTCTGACCAGAGCCTGGAACCTCCAAAAATGTCTGAGGGACATTTTGAGTTCCAACAGATCCCCATCCTCAGGCTGCTGCTCCCAGAGCCCTTTCCCAGCGCTTCCAGCTGGGATGGCTGGGAGATGGCAGCACACGGTGATGGCACATGCTGCCAATTAGGGAAAGCAGCTCCTGGGGGGAATTTGGGGTCAGAACAACACAGGGCAAGAGCCACGTGTAGGAAAATGTCCCTGGAGCTCACAGCTGAGTGGGGAGATCACTCAGGGCTGACATTCCCATACGGATCCATGGAGCTGCTGCTGGCCCAGGCCCAGCTCACTCTGGAGTTACTCCTGCTCAAGGTTCCCTTTACAGCAAACTGGAATGGGGGCCTTTTCAATATTTGACTTTTCCCACTCATTTGTCACCCTCCTGATTTTGCAGAGCCGCTTTCGTCATGTCAAGAGTTTCTCGCTGATGGTTCCATCACCTCCAAGCTCTGCATCCAAAGGCAGGACACAAGAATGGAAAATTGGGCTCTACCTCAAATCCCGCTGTCCAAACACCCCCATCACAGCCAGGCTGCTCTTGGAGCTGATCCAAAATAAATTTGGAGGGTGCTGAGGAGGAGCCGCTTTAGTGGCATTGCCTTCCCAAGATAACCATCAGTTGTCAGCCAATTTTGGCACGGGGCACGACTGCGAGGAGCAGGAAGCTTTTTAGATCGGTCATGGATGAGATGCTGAGCATTTTCCAGGAGCATTTCTGTCTGGGAATAGCCAGTGGGAGGCTGAATGGATTTGTGGCTGGCCAGGTGGCTGCCACAGCTGTGCTGTGCTGCTGGATGCCACCCCCTGCCACTGCTGCCATCAGGGGCAGAAGGGGTGGCAGCGCTTTGTTCCACGGCTGCAGAGGGGAAATTCTCTGGGGAATGAGTTTTCCTGAAAGGTGGAAGCATTTTTATTATTGAGTTACAACTATCTAAATTAAAAAATATATATTTTCAAAAAATGTATTTTTAATATATATATTTATACATATATTTGTATATACATATAATATGTATGTATATATATGTGTGTGTTTATAAATGTGTAATAAAAATGTATAAATGTATTAAAATGTGTAATAATAAATTCCTATTAAAAAAAACACAGAGACAGTTCAGGAAAGTCTTTGCCTAGATTTGTAATAATATCAAGTGATGGGATATGACAAAAAAGGAAGTATTTACAATGCAATCTTCTGTTTACAAGTCTGGCAGAAAGTGACTTTTTTTTTTTTTTTTTTTAAATGGAGTTATGGCAAAACTCTCAGTTTTTCTTCACATTCACCATTTTTCACCACTCACCCTGTGCTGAGTGGGAGGGAGGATACAGCCTTAAGAACCATAAATGCAGAGTGGGAAATTCTTCTGGGATAGCAGACAGGGAGAAAAAACCCAGCAGGAATTCAGGCGTAGATGTTGAGAGCATCTAAATTTGGATGCTGGATTTTTGCAGCCCCAACAGGTCCTGCTTGTGCAGTTTATTTTTTCCCCCCTCATTATTAAAAAGAAAACTCTTTGCAGTCCATGGTTGGAGTGTCCAGCTGTGGAAGTGCCTGCAAAGGGGAGAGTTAATAATATTTATCTAAAACATGCCAGAGCCCACGTGCAGTCTGGGGGATTGGGCTGGATAAAAGCAGAATGAAATCCCTGCTATGCTGGGAGTCGCTGGAGGGGCTTTTTTTTTTTTTTGTTTTTTGTTTTCCCACCAGTCTCTGATGCTCTGGAGCAGTTTTGGTGAGAGCATGGATGTGATATGGATGTGAATGCTACCCTTGTAGCCAAAGTAATATTTTTAGCTTCCTCATTTTCCTTAAGGAAAATGACATCCTGCTTACAACATTTGGGGGGGATTATTTTAATTTATATTAATGGGGAAGAAGTTGAATCTGTGGGACCATTTCCAGAGCAGTGTCATAAGCAGCAGTGAGGGGAAAAAACAATGTCAAGAAGAGAAGATACAAGGAAATATTTCCAGGTTATTGCTTCAAGAAAAAGTATTTATTGTGGGATATCACAGTATTTTATATAATTATAGAATGGTTTGGGTTGGAAGGAACCTTCAAGCTCATCCCATGCCATGGGCACTATCCCAGGTGCTCCAAGCCCTGTCCAGCCTGGCCTTGGGCACTTCCAGGGATCCCTGACCCCCAGCTCTCCCTGCCTGGCTGCAGAGCAGAGGGGCTCTGTGAACTCCTGACATTTCACAAGCAGAAAATCCTAGATTTGGGGGATTGGAATAATTTCCTCTGACTTGCCGCAGGTGCAGTGTCATTGTGCCGGAAGGTTTGATGGATTGGAATTAATATCAGACAGGGAATTCAACCCAGTTTCCCCCAGTGGGGTTAGAACTGGATGATCTTTAAGGTCTCCATTCCAACCCAAACCATTCTGGGGTTCTATGGAATTGCCTGAGCTGCATCACCCAGAGCTTTTCGTGTTCCAGAGGAGCAGTGGGTTCTTGCACACTTCAGCAGCTACAGGGTGTGTAGCACACACAGCTCACACATCCTCACACTGCTCCTGCCCCAAGCCAACCCCAAATAATCCTGTGGCAGCAAAAAATCCTGTGACAAGCTCAGAAGGAGCTCAGCACACCGCCTGCTCCATGGCATCATCTCCAAAGGGACTGGGAAGGCTGATTGTTTAATACAAATATCTTTGTTCCCATTTAGGTACTTAGTCTGTGGTGAGAAGGCTCATATCTGTTAGTAAATTAGACACTGAGGAGGTGACACAGTTTATTAAATTACCCAGCAAAACAGGGACTAAAATGATCACCGAAGAAGGAAACAGCACAAAATTAATCCTTCCTTTTTGTGGAGCCTTAAAATGCCCTCCCACTGAAATCTTCTGTGTCCATAAGGCAGCTCCATGCCCTGGGAAGCTGCCATGAAACTTCAGCTGATGTTAAGAGATTGGGGGGAAAATATAGGTTCAGACCTCTGCCACTATTGAAGGAAGTCACAAATACAAGAATATTTTCTTTTTTTAACACGGTGGGGATTCCTGCCTTCCTCCAGGGCTGTGACCTCGAGTCCACTCTGCTGCTGGAGAGATTCTGCTTGCAAAAGAGAGCTTGAAAGAGAATGGTGGGGGTTGCAGAGGCGGAGTAAAAGGCAGGGTATTGATTTTATAAAAACGCAGCATCACCTTTGATACCCTGTTAAAGTTACACCAAGGGAGAGCTGGCACGGCTTCCAGCGGGGTAATTCCGGCCTGAGTAATGCCAGCGTGCCTGGGGCTGGCAGAGCGAGCGAGCTGGGACCAGAAACGATGCCCTGGCTTCACTAGCTGGCATGTTTCACATATCTGCTGGCTGGAAACTGCTTTCTGTGGTGCCTCGTAACGGAGAAGCCGCGGGGAGCCGGCAGAACGAGCTCTGCCTGAAGTCGAGGGGTTATTTCCAGCAGCACTTCGCTTTTTGCCTCCCCTGAACGTGCAGAATCGCGGCTGGGGATGTTCCCCCTCCGCCGGGAGGCGTGGGGAGGGACGGGCTCCATCCTTCAGGACATTCTGGGATCCTTTCCTTATGGATGGCATCGTGCCCTTTCCTTGGATAAACTCCCGGGGCCTCACTGGGCAGGCTTTAAAGCTAAAAACGTGCGCTAATGAAAGGTACCGAGAATGAGGGGGCTGTAAGGATCTTCCCAGCACTTGGAGGAGCTGCCCGGGCTCCAACCAACCACCGCATCCTCAGCAATTACTGCCACTGTCGGGTGGGTTTATCCCTGAAAAACGGGACTGGCGGGAGCTCAGCCTGTGGGTGATGCTGGGGCGGGGAGGAGCCGCTGCCTGGGTCAGCTCCGGGACTTCCCTCTGTGCCTCTGGGGCTGCGAGACACAGAAATTCCCCTGCTGGCCTGGCCTGGGCTCAGGCTGCGTCTCCCTCTGCTTGCCCCGAGCAGCTGCTGGGTTTTCCTGCTCCTGGCCGGGCTCTCGAGCATCCCGGTGGGCACAGAGGGGACCAGGATGTCGCTGCTCCTGTGCCTTGGGGATGCGCAGTGTCCCTGTCCCTTCTGCTTCCAGCTGCTCCTCCTGCTGGTCCTGGGCTTCTACCTGCCCTTCCTGCTGGTCCTGGGCTTCCAGCCACCCTTCCTGCTGGTCCTGGGCTTCCAGCCGCTCCTCCTGCTGGTCCTGGGCTTCCACCTGCCCTTCCTGCTGGTCCTGGGCTTCCAGCCGCTCCTCCTGCTGGTCCTGGGCTTCCAGCTAATCCTCCTGCTGGTCCTGGGCTTCCAGCTGCTCCTCCTGCTGGTCCTGGGCTTCCACCTGCCCTTCCTGCTGGCCCTGGGCTTCCACCTGCCCTTCCTGCTGGACCTGGGCTTCCACCTGCCCCTCCTGCTGGTCCTGGGCTTCCACCTGCCCTTTCTGCTGGTCCTGGGCTTCCAGCTGCTCCTCCTGCTGGTCCTGGGCTTCCAGCCGCTCCTCCTGCTGGTCCTGGGCTTCCACCTGCCCTTCCTGCTGGTCCTGGGCTTCCAGCTGCCCTTCCTGCTGGTCCTGGGCTTCCACCTGCCCTTCCTGCTGGTCCTGGGCTTCCAGACACCCTTCCTGCTGGTCCTGGGCTTCCACCTGCTCCTCCTGCTGGTCCTGGGCTTCCACCTGCCCCTCCTGCTGGTCCTGGGCTTCCACCTGCCCTTCCTGCTGGTCCTGGGCTTCCAGCTGCCCTTCCTGCTGGCCCTGGGCTTCCACCTGCCCCTCCTGCTGGCCCTGGGCTTCCACCTGCCCTTCCTGCTGGACCTGGGCTTCCACCTGCCCCTCCTGCTGGTCCTGGGCTTCCAGCCGCTCCTCCTGCTGGTCCTGGGCTTCCACCTGCCCTTCCTGCTGGCCCTGGGCTTCCAGCTGCTCCTCCTGCTGGTCCTGAGCTTCCAGCCGCCCCTCCTGCTGGTCCTGGGCTTCCAGCTGCTCCTCCTGCTGGTCCTGGGCTTCTACCTGCCCTTCCTGCTGGTCCTGGGCTTCCAGCCGCCCCTCCTGCTGGTCCTGGGCTTCCAGCTGCTGGTTGTGAAATGGGGATGCTCCTTGGTCTCTGAGCTGTCAGTGAGCTCATGGAGTTGAGTGTGTGGCTGCTCTTAGTGCCATTGACACATTACACATAAAAATATATCGATGTAGCCTTTAATCTAGACCCAAAGTAGATTACTGAGCATGTTTTAGTGATGTGTTTCCCTTTCTGTGCCTCCCAAGCAGCCCAAGGCAGCTGGGATATTAATAATGACCATGTGCTGCTCACACACTCCAAGCCCAGAGTGCCAGGGTGGGGAGGCAGCCTGGGACCTGCTTCTGCTCTTCTCTGCTCCAGAGACTGGATTTCCTTTAAGTGAAAGCCCTTCTCCAAAGGGAATCATAGCCCAGTGTCTCCAGTTGGGGTCCAGTAAGGTGGTCAGAGTGTGGGGCTGAGGGCAAGGCCGTAGCTGGTGGTTTAATTCACAGAAAATACATAATTATCCTTAACTCACAGCATCCTTGGAGTTTCCTCTCTGTGCTGCAAAAACAACTCAAACCAAAAGTGGTGCTCCTGGGGTAAAACCATGGAATGACACTGTTCCAATTAAAATAAATTTGTCTGGTTTTCAAAAACCTCTTTGGGGAAAGTTGCATCCTTCTTCTGCTGCATGTGAGGTTGTTGTAGGACAAAAAACCTGCATTTTGGAGCAGTCAGGCAGCTGCTGCTTGATGGAGATCCCTCTGCTTTCCTCATGCAGGAAGATCAGAGGTTTGGGAATGGCAGCAGCTTGGCCAACACAAGTTGGATCTGAAACTGCCTCAGGTGATGGGAAAAGGGATAAAAGAGTCCTTTCCTGACGGAGGACTCTCACATCCCCAATTACATCTATAAATGGAAAATAAAGAATTTCATTGATAAGAGAACACAAAACTGTCACAGGTAATCACGTTTTGAGAAAAGGGTTCTTCTATCACATAAAAAACTTGGATGAAAATGATGGTTGTGCAGCTGAAATTGTTAATTGAATAATGCAAACTCATTCTGTCTCATTCCCAGGGAAGTGTTTTTATCCACAGATTGAGATACTCTTCACCCTAATTTTGTTTCTACACAAATTAATATTTTCCTGGGAAAAACATAAAGTCTGTAAAATCAGTGATGAAAAATAATAACCAGCCCACTGCCCTATACACACACACAAAAGAAAACACTGAGAACTGCCAAATGACAAAAATGAATGAAGATTTGAAGCATCTCAGAAGTAATTAAAACACACCAGGAAACGAACAAACTTCAAAATGAAAAAAACTACCTAAAGCTGCTCCTTTCTGTGGAGCAAAGGGTTCTCAAGTCCATAGCTACATAAACAAATAGAAAATCAGGAACTGTATTGATGAGACTTTTTCTTCTTTCCCTACCAAAGAGGTTAAAAAAACCTCACCTCCAAAAATCTTAATTTCCTTAAAAATAGAGATTAGGGAGTTTCCACTCTACCATGAACTCTCCAGGGTGGAGGAAGCAGCTACAACTCCAACTATTCTGTGACTCCAAGACCTGGTTATCTTGAACTATCTTAAAGTTTGTTTAACTTAATTAAAAGCTTCATTAAAACCGCAATTGCAAAACATGCCAGGATGAATAACTGTGCTCGACACCTATGTGGGATGAAGGTTTCCCATCCCTAAGGGATTTGCTCATCTTCATCTTCCTCAAAGCCAGCTGAAGCTGCTCTGCTCTATTCCCAGGTGTGAGGGATCCTCGTTTTCCTGCTCCTGAGGCCCAGGGCAGGCACCAGGTGAGGATGGAGGGTGGTTCCTGAATTTCCTGTCTCTACCCCAGCTGCCTGTGCCCCATCCAGGTGTTTCCCACCCTGGGCCTTTCTCTTTCCATCTGGCTGCTTGTCAGACATTCCTTCTCACTGCTGATGCTTTTCTCCTACCCATTCACAGCACTTTGACTGGAGGAATCCAGGAATGGCCTTCCAGGCTGAGTTTGTGTCCCTGGGGCAGGTTTAGAGTGCCAGGTTTAGAGGAGACAGGCAGAGATCCCTCCTCAGGAGCTGTGTTTGATCCTGAGGTGAACTGCCTCTTTTCCTTCCTTGATGACTTCTTCCCTCCCTTGGCTGAAGAGAGATGTTATTCCCGTTTTGGGCTGGAATTTTCTCTGTCTTGCCAGTGATTTTGGCTCTGGTCTTCTCCAGTTGTGACTGTCAGGGGTCGGTCACCACCATTCTGATGCTGACTAAAGCTCAGGGACTTGGGGGAACAGCGTCACTCCCACCTAAGAGCTCACCCATCCCCTTTCCATCCCGCACATGCTTCCCAGCTGGTTGTACGGATCCATTCCTACAGGATGGACCCAACAACCAGGCCCAGAGCAGCACCATTAGCTGAGCAATTCTTTATTTGCGTAGCCTGCAGAAAATCACAGACTGGTCTCAATAAACCACGGCCACAAGGAGTACTGAGAACACTGGGCGCCCTCGGTGGACTCCTGGATCACCATCAACACCCCGATGCCCGCGGCGCGTCCCTGTGCGGCTCCCTGGGGATGCTGCGGTGGTTTGGGGCGGGTGTCGGTGCCGGGGCAGCGGCAGCCCCGGAGCAGGCGGCGGAACAACGAGCGGCGGAACGGCGAGCAGCGGAACAGCGAGCGGCGGCGCGGCGGCTCCGGCTCCCCGCGGCCGGCCGGGGCAGCGCCGGGCAGCAGCCCCGGGGGCCGAGTCTGCGTCTCCCGCTCCCTGAACAGCCGGACCGGGGAAATCCGCCGCTTGCGGGCCGGCAGCTCGGTCTGGACATCTCGATCCACGCGTTGGGCGGCACACGGCCGCTCCGGTGTCTCGGGCTCTGTCTGGGTGTGCCGGTGGATCAAAAGCGGTTCTGTCTCGGTCGGGGCAGGGGTGGAGGGTGTGGAGGGCACTGTGGAGGAGCTGTCCGGTGTCAGCTTGCCCGAGCAGGCCGCGCAGCTCCTCAGGCGCCGGCACTGCCCGCGGGCCGCGGTGTTGGCGGGCGGCGGCAGCGGCACGGGGCTGGGCACGGCGGAGCGCTGCCCCCGCGGCAGCCGGGCCAGGCTGGGCCGGCTCCTGGAGCTCTGCTGGACGCAGGAAAGCCGTGAGGAGCTGTCCCCGCGGGAGGCTGGAGCCGGGCTCTGGGGCAGCTCTACCTGGAGGCGAGAGGAGAAAGAGACGCGGGAGGTGTGGGATGGAGGCGGCTGCCTCGCCCCATGCCCGCCTGTTCCTCCGGCCTCATCCTTCAGCAGGTGCCTCTTGGACGGCCGAGGGCCGAACTGGCCCTTCTCCATGGGCATCTCCACGGCAGCTCTCCCGGGGAGCTGCGCTGCCGGAGGGCACGGCCCGGCATGCTCCTTCCACAGCCCCGGCAGCCGCAGTGCCACGCGGGGCCCGCTGCCAGCACGGGGCGTCTCCGTGTCACATCGGCCCCGGTGTCACAACGGCCCCGGGGTCACAATGGCCCCGGTGTCACAATGGTCACAATGCGAGCCCCCTGTGTGACACAGCCCCGGGCTTTGCCGCGGGGACACGGGGCGTTCCGCTGCCGCGGGCTCTGTGCCCATGGGGATCGCACCGCCTCCCCCGGGCGCTCCCCGGGCTGCCGGAGCATCCCCGAGCCGCGCTGGCCCCAAAGCGCGGCCCTGCCGCACACCAGGTGGCGCTCTCTGCCCGCCAATAAAGCCCAATGCACTTTTTATTAATAATTGTTAATTAGTTCCCCCTCCCCCCGCCAAGGACTGCCCGACCCCCCGGCCGCAGGGATGCTTCCAGGCTGAGGATGGGACAGTTCCGAGCCCGGAGCTTTTCAGCCGCACGTGAAAGGCTGGAGGCGCAGACACGAGGGTGCAAAAACACCCCACCACCTCCTTAAAAGACAGAGACGCTGCTAATTGATTTTTCAACCCTTAATTCAATACTCGTTGTCCTCCAGCTCAGATGCTTTGCCCTCTCCTTGCCCTGCCCCACCAGACCAGGGATCTGTCCCTTCAGGCGTGGCACAAGTTTCCATGGGTTGGGAGGTGGACACTGAGTGGTTCCTGGGCGCCCTGAGTGCCCAAAGCCTGGCTGTGGGGGCTGGGAAAAACCCCCTCCCCTTTTTTTTTTTTTTTTTTTTTTTGCCTGCAGCAAGGGGCTTCTGAAATCCCTCCTTGGAAACAAGAGTGGTTTGGGAGGGAAATGTGATAGGGGAGCTGATGGTGCCCTTTGCCAGCCAGCATTAAAAATTCATGTGCATGATGGGCTCTTCCAAATAAGTCCAGGAAGGATGAGTCCCTCCCTCCCCGGACAAGCTGGCAGAGCACTCTGGCTGCCTCATCCCTCAGGTGCCACCAGCGCCCCGGTGTCTGTGCCTGGGGACGGGCTCTGCTCCCTCAGGGCATGGCGTGCAGCCTGGGATGAGGGACACCGCGAGTCTGGAAAGCTGCGTGTCCCACAGGATGGTGGGGCTGGGCTGGCATGTGCTGGGGGGTGACCTGGAGGGCAGGGAGCAGGGAACCTGGTGGGGAGGGTGTGGAGTCCTGGATGGGGAGGGATGCTGGGTGGGATGTGCGGTGCCCCAGCCATGAGGTACACGGGATAATCTGGGCAGGGAAGGATGGAGAGAGGCGTGCGAGGTGCCAAGGGGGGTACCCAGGAGGGACCAACGGGGGAGTGCTGAGGGTAGCGCAGCCCGGAACGTGGGGTGAGGAGAGAGGTGGGATGCTGAGCTCCTTGTGGGGCGGGATGGGATGCAGAGCCCCCGGGGGGACAGGCTGGTATGCTGAGTGCCGGGGATGCTGAGCTGCCGGGGGCCGGGCCGGGCGGGCCGAGGGGCGGCTCCACGTGGCTCATTAGCAGGAGGCAATTTAATATTTATGAAGTGTTCTTGTTTGAATCCCAAGTCTTCGGCTCCAGTTACAAGGAGCTGCGTCACCCTGCGATCACATGGTAATTGTTGCTATTTCCAGGATCCCAGCCTCGCAGAGTGGCACAAGAGCTCTTTCCCCTTTTCTCGTCCTTTTCCCTCGCTGGCCGCTGTTTTCGGGCGGGTTTTGCCGGCCCCCGGGCGGGCGGGCGGGCGCGGGGCGATGCCGGGGCCGCTGCCCTGAGCCGGGGCGGGCGCAGCCGCTCCCCGCCCTGCCCCTGCCCGGAGCCGCTCCGTGAGAGCGGGACCGGCCCGCCGGCCCCAAAATGACCGAGCTGGAAGGGGACTTCACCAAGCTGCTGCTGCTGAAGGAGGAGCGGATCAAGGAGCTGGAGCGGCGCCTGGGCGAGAAGGATGAGGAGATCCAGGAGCTGCGGCGGCGGCTGCACAAATGCCAGTCCGTGCTGCCGGCCCCCAGCCCGCACATCGGGCCCCGCACCACCCGGGCTCAGGGCATCTCCGCCGAGCCGCAGACCTACCGCTCCTTCCACGACCTCCGCCAGGCTTTCCGCAAGTTCACCAAGGCAGAGAGGTAGGGATGGATGGCACGCACCCCTTTATCCCCGCTCCCGAGCGGGGTGGCCGGGACACCGCCTTCCCCTGGCACGGAGATGCCCGGGGCGTGGAGCGGCTCCGAGCCGCCGGGAAGGAGCCCTGCGGGGGATCGGACAGCCCGGACCTCCCTCCCTGCCTCCCTCCCTGCCTCCCTCCCCGGCTCCTCTCTTCCCTTCCCCGCCGCGGCTCCCGGGGGATGCTCGGCCGGAGCGCGGGGGGGCGGCGGAGCCTCTCCGGCGCTGGGAAAAGTTTGCGGCGGGGCCGGGAAGTTGTTGGGTGGCTGCTGGAGAGCCGCCAGCACCCCCGGCACCCCCGTTCCCGGGGCAGGTGCTACCCCTCACCCCGACCCCCTCCTTCCCCCACGCCATTCTCCCCAAAAACGAGCGCACGCTGCTCCAGCCGTGCTTTGCCTCCGGTTATCCCGGCGGGGCTCGCTGATCCTGAAGGGCTTTTTCCACGTTTATGATTCTATTTCCCTGTGCTGCTGTCGGGCACCCACGGAGAGGGTTTTTTGGGGGGGAACATGGGGTCTGCATCACTCAACCCGCGGTCTTGGGGGTTGTCCTTCTTCCAGCCATGAGGGAAAACTGGGGAGCGTGGTGCTGTGCTGGCTGCTGGGGAGATGTTGGGTGTGACCACAGGGGTGACCCTGCTTGGGCAGAAGCTGTGGCTGGTGCTTCCCGAGCAGGGCACGGTCCCCGTGTCCCCTGTGCAGATTTGTTTCAGCAGAGCCTTCCCGACGGGATCTACGTGTGGGTGTGAATGCACAGCTCTCCCCAAATGTGCCCCGACCAAACTCCAGCGCTTTCCTCCTCTCTGTGCCCTGCCCCTTGTTAACGAGACTATTGCTCAAACGAGGAGCACTTGGCTTTGGGCTAATTCAGTATTATTCCTTTCTCTGCCTGTGGTGCTTTAATAAAGCAAACTGCTGTGCCCAGGGAGGTGTGTGAGTGCGAGCTGAGCGTGTCCATTTGTCCTTCCCTGGGGCAGCACATCCCTGTGCACCAAGGCAGAGACCAGCTCTTGTGGATGGAGGAGAAACCACGTCCAACTTTTCCTTTTGCTGCTGGTTTTTTTGGAGGCAGTGATCATCCCGAGCCTCAGGAAGGTGACAGTGACTTGGCACCTGTGGTGAGGGCAGGGACCCAGTGTCCCCACCCTGAGTAATCACTTATTTAGATGTTGTTAAACCTGCTCACAGCTCCAGTGAGGTTTAGTCCTGGCCTGAGGCTTCCCTGTGCTGTTCCCAGTTTGGGCTGGCAGGCCAGCTGCAGGAAAAGCTGTGCCCATGTGGTGCAGTGAAGGTCGTTTGCCCCATCCTGCATCATTCCCATCATCCTCAGACGATGTTTCAGCGGGCAGGAAAAACTCCTGGTGGGGCCTGCGGGCACTTCCAGGCTGGAACTCCATCCCCTGGCATCCCCCATGCCTCAGCCTCGCTCGTGGTAGCCATGACAATGGTAACCAAGCCGGTCTGGGATTGCTTTGGGGTTTTAATTCTTAATTCTTCCTTTAATTCTGCTTAATTCTTCTCCTGTCTTGTTGCTGGGAGAGCGGCGGGCGGCTCCATGGTGTGCTGAGCGCGCTGCACCCACAACCTCCCTTTTTCCCCCGTTTTTCCCCCGTTTTTCCCCCGTTTTTCCCCCAAATCTCTCCCCACCACGGGCTGGATGGAGGTGTTTTTTCAATGGGTGGTGTGTGGGTCCTCGATGCAGCTCCAGGGGCTGTCCTGGGCTCAGGGAGCCCAGGGCTGTGCTGCACAGGCTGTGCCAAGAGCCTGACCAGCTTTCCCCCTCCCGATGCCGGCTGCAGGCAGGGATGGCTCTGGCTGGTGCCAGCTCCCCTCAGTGTCCCCGGGGCTTGCTCTGCCTCTGGCATCTCAGAACTGCTGCCAGCACTCGGCTGATTTATTTATGGGGCAGCTCATGTACCTCCAACAGGCTCCTGCCTCTGCCCCAGCGACAGCAGCAGCTCCCAGCTCTCATCCCTCATCCCTGGGAGGCTGAGGATGGGGAACTCCTCTTTTCCAAAAGCCACAGGCAACTTCCAGACCATAAAACCCCCAAGGGGATGTTCAGCCCTGTCTGTTTCCAGTTTTTTAAGAAACTTTTTTAACCTCCAAGCACTTTTCCACTGCTGAAGATGAAGATGTAGTTATTGACAATATAATTGGATTTGTTTATTGCGTGTAATACACACCGACGCGTAAAACTGTCAAGGAGTTGAAAGCAGCAAACTATGGGATGACAGGAACTCACAGAGGGATAAATCCCAGCTGAAAGTGGAGAATGCAGTTGGTTTAAATCTTTTGTGCCTCTTGTAATGCATCCCTATCATGTGCAGCAAGGGCAGAGTTGAGAAGGCTTGCAGAGATCCAAAGAATGGGGATGTGTAAACAGAAAAGTGGCGAAGGATGTGTTATCTTTGCTCTGGAAGTGTGTTTTTATGCTGTTGTGCCTTCTGATAACACAGAAATATAAATTTTAATGGCAGAAAACATTGCTGTGTAGCCGGCCAGGTGCACAGAGCTATCCATGTATCTATAGCCAATCTGTAAATTAGATTTTCTTTCAAAATAGCTGCTTTCTGTGCCTGTCTTCAAAATAATTCCTTCCTGTTGTTCCTTGATCTGTTCCTACCAGCAGAGATTTGAGTTGAGAGCGGAGCTGCACTTCTTGTAAATGATTCCCTCATTTATTTATGGTCAGTGAGTTTTGATTCACTTTCACCCCCAGCCAGTGAGTGTTTTGGATTTCACGAGGCCTCGGGGCTGTCTGATCCAGCACCTGCCAGTCCCTTATGGCAACACAAAGAAGGAAAAACAGTTTGTCCCCGTTTTTCCTGGCAGGGTGGGAGCCATCCATGGATAATGCAGCAATCCAGACACTTTGCTACACCGATGCCCAGTTGCTAAGCAAAAGCACTGCAGATGATCAATGATGCAAAAAAAGTAAATGCTGAGGTGTGGCAAAGCCAGGACTAAGGGCTGGATCAGCCCTGCCTGTCCCTGCACCCAGAGGTGCTCTGTGCCCTGGGAGAGATGGACCTGAGCCCTAATCCCACCTCCAGATCATCCTCCCAGGAAATTCCAGCTGCTGCCTGCCTTAATTCTGAGGTGCAGTGTCTAATTCCAGCTAAATCCTGCTTATTTGGGGTGAGAAACCTCCTTCAAACCACAAAATGACTTTGGGAACTCTGGAATATTTTCGGAATAGCGACTGAATCTTTGCTGAAGCCCTGTCCCTGCAGGCAATTCCACGTTTTGTGTGAGGTTATATCCTCAACTCCCCAAATCCAGCTCGGGCAGTGCCATCCCTGGGTTTTTCCATGCCTGTTTCAGTCTGACACAGTGCTGTAGGCTCAGCCTCAGCCCTCACCATTTAAGACAGATGAGTTTCCCCGCTCTGTTCCTGGTAATTTACCCATCCTTCTTGGCTCCCTAACTTTTTCTGCAACTTTTTAATGGATTTTCCTCCCTTTTTAACTTTATTTCAGGAAGCATTTGCCACAAGATGGCAGTGGGGTCTAACATTTAAGGCGAGGTATTGGGGTGTATTGTGGTTTCAGCCTCCCAGTCCGGGACCAGTCCTGCTGCCTGTGGTTTTCCAGGTAAAATCAGGCAGGAATCCTTGTTTCTCCTGCTTCCATCTCCCCTGAGGTGTTGGGGGATACTTTGCTGAGGGCGTGTGTTCACCCAAGGTGTTTAAACACAGGATTAAAGGCTTTGGGTGGTACTGGGGATAGAGGATTGGAGTGGATCCTCTTGACTTCATGCAGCAAAAGCATAAAGGGATTGTTCATTATTGGGACAAGCTGGTTCTTGCTGGTGGCCATGGCAGGACCAATCCATCTCTGGGGTTTGGGTATTGCTCAGACCAGGACCAACCATGCCTGGGGTAAAAACTGGGCAGCCTGGGAGGTTTTCAGTCCAAAACTCAAGGCCAAGTCACCTTTAAAGCTGGACTGGGACTGCAGAGATGTCCTGCACAGCCCTGGAATTCTCCATCACTTCTACCCCGCTGTAACACTTTTATCTCACATCTCCACCAGCCTGGAGCTGCTGTGCTGATGGCCTCCAGCCCCCTGAGCATGGCAAGGGGGATGTTCCCCCTCCCTGGAGCCGTGTCCTTCCCCCCTCAGCCCCTTTCTGGGAAGCGAGCTGCCCGCCTGCGTTAATTTAGCCATGATCTCATCAGCTGCCAGCCACTAAAGCGATATCGATCCTGCCTGCGCTCAGCCTGCCCCTGAAAAACAACCCAGCTGCTTCCCCACTACCTGGAACCACCCTCCCTCAGGGCCTGGCAGCCTGGAAAAGGAGCTTTTGCCTCATTTTTTTTCAGGGGGTGACCTGCTGCCTGTGTGTGACACTTCAGCCTTTAAGCTGAGGAAGGACAGTTCGGGACTGTCCTCCTGAAATGTGTGACACCACTCACAGCTGTGTTCAAACAGGGAGCTTTAGCTGGATCTGAGGCTGCTGTTTCTCTCTGTCAGGATCAGCATCGCTTTGTAAAGCTCAGAGGAAGGGTAGCAGTGATTTTTGCCATTAATTACAACTCTAAAAACGCCTCTCTTCCTCATTTACCCATCCCAAATCCGGTCCCACCCGCTCCTGATGCGCTGCAACAGCAAATTCCTTGGATGCTTCATCCCTGGGTGATCCCCACCAAAGATCAGAAGGATTTTATTAGCTGGAATTATACTGGCAGAGGAGGAATTGACACTGTCCTCATTGCTTGTTGTGTTGGGAGAGCATGGCTGCTCCAAGGGAGGGAAATGCAGAGAGAAGTTTGAGAGAAGAATTTAAGAAGTTGCTTAAATTTGGGGAGAGCTGGAAAATATTCCAAAGAGAGTGATGGAAGTGGGAGATGGGCTCTTTGCTTGGTCCTCTCTGCTCACTTGGATGGAGCAACTTGTGGCATGAAGCAGTGGAGTGAAGATGTGGGGGACAAAGTGAGTTGTCACTGCAGGGAGAGGTGT